AGACGATTATTATTACACCAAAGTTTGATTACATCCAATTCATGTTGTAGACGTTGGCAGTCAGTAATGTCGTCGATTTTATAATATAGTTTCAGGTCGTCTGCAAAGATATTGTAACGAACTTTTGTAACTTTGAGTTGATTATTTTCAACGGTTTGTAAGTGCAATAAAGATTATTTATTCACGTTCAGCAAATGTACATTATGTAACATACATTACTCCTTTGTACACGATTGAGTTTTGATCAACTCAAAAATATACCCAAACATTATTTTACGTGCAATTACAATACAATACAATATCTTTATTCCTTAAAATGATCACTTCACAATGATATAGAAGTCGTCAATGGTAATAAACATGAAATGTATATAAACATTAGTACAACAGTATTACAAAATGCATAAATTTAACACATGAGCGTGCTTGTTTAAAATAAACAATCAAAAGTGTTTATACATGTACATAATAGATAATGCCGACATGATATTAATTGTTGATTGGCGAATGTTAATATTCAAAATATTCATTAATATTGTAAAAACAACCATCTACGAGATATTCTCTGATTCTCCGTTTAAATACTAAAAATGATTCCACACTTTTTAAGCCGGAAGGTAGACAATTGAAAAATTTGGAACCTGCTAGAGATGGCGTCTTTTCGAATAATTTTGTACGATGTTGTTGTAGTTTGAATAAATTCCCTTTCCTTGTTGCGTAATCATGACATTGGGAGTTAGTTTCTAAATCGAGTGTGCATTTTTTCACAAAGAGCAGACAGTTATAAATATAGATAGAAGGTACTGTTAATATCTTCCTTTGCTTGAAAACAGGTCTGCATGAATCAGTATTATGTAGATTGTGCAAGAGCATAGTAAACATCTAACAGTTGTTCTTCAGTATTTTTTTAAGCTGCATTAAGGCATAGAAACTGTTAATAAGTCTCACATAGTCGACTTGAAATTGCCAATTTAATGAGTGTGAACTCCTAAAAACTTTGTGGATTCTGAAGGGTATATATTCGTGTTATTTATAATAACGTGTATGGGATGTTCCACAGATTTACTTGAAGAAAACTGTAGCAATACTGTTTTTTGTTTTTTCTGCATTGACCATAATTCTATTTCTTTGACACCACTTTGAGAAATTTTGACTTATTACATTGAATTTTTCTTGAAGTTCCAAAGGACTGTCGGCTTCTGCAGAAATAGAAGTATCATCGGCAAAAAGAACTATCGAAGTAGTGGCGATATGTTGTGGTAAATCATTTATGTATAGTAAAAACATTAATGGTCCCACGACTGAGCCTTGTGGAACTCCATATTCGAGTTTACTTTATCCCATTCTACGTATATCTTTCGAAAGATAGAAATTTACCTCAAATTCCAATTACAGTAAGTTTCTTGGCCAGTATATTGAAGTTTATAGAATCAAAAGCCTTTGATAAATCGAAGAAGAGTGCGGCCACAAACTTTCCTTTGCCAATTCCTCTACAGATATTTTCCAAGAAAGCTGTAGTCGCACTTTCCGTCGATCTACCGGGGCAAAATCCATTTTGACATTTGTTTATTACATTATGTTTCGTTAAGAAAGGAAGTAGTTGTTCATAGATACATGTTTCAATTACTTTGCTCAACATACTAGGAATAGTTATTGGTCGGTATTTGTCAATCAACAAGGGATCATTTCTTTTTAAGAGAGGAATTTTCTAGATGTTAGATCCAGGTTCGTCTGGGATTTACTTCCCCCCAGATGTTAAACCCCCATCTACAGTTATGTCTTGAAGGTGCTAGTTCCTCTATCTTGGTACTCTTGGTAAATTATACTAGCACCTAGTTGATGTTGGTGATTGAATTATCTACCTAGTTGACAGTTGCCCAATCAGTTCTCTTGATCCTGAACAAATAGAAGATTCAGTGGTGTAGCTAGAAATCGAATAGTGGCCCCCTCAAGGGCAGGATATGTTATAATTACTGCTTTTCACCAAATTCTGGAGCAGCTGAAGCAGAATCTGCATCAGGGGAGACAATAGACTCCCCCAGAGCAGGCTAGCAAACGCTTACGCTAAAAAAGACGATTCACCCAAACCAGCCTTGCTTGGCTAGATCCAATGTTTCATCAGTTATAGCTCACGAGTGGGTTGCTGCGGACATCAATGTGGAAATCTTGCACCTTGAATGTCCAACAACCCCAATATCAACCAATCAAATGGAATTTATTTCGTATGCCAGTATAGCTGCTGTGAGGATTTTCCAGAAAGACTCTGAAATTTGATAATCCTCTAGAGCTCTTTTTGTGTTAGGTTTGCTTTTATTAAAATTTATTTTTAATAGTTGAAGAATGACATCAGACGAATAGGTAGTTTATTTTGAAAAAAGTGAAACTTATCACCTCACTTCGCATAGACTAGTAAGTCCAATTCGGCTAAAAGTACAGATTTTTCTGAACTTTTCTTTGTCTTTGAGTGTGAAGAAATGTCTTTGGTGGTGTCCAACTGGATAGTATACTACACCAATAAGGCCAGACCTATAATATAATTTCAACTTATAATGTTATTTTGAACTGAAATACTTTATTTCCATTTTTTCTCTAAAAAAACCTGCAGATAGTGTTCATAAATCATAATGATGATGCAATGTAACAGGAGCCTTTATCTGATATAACTTAAATATACAGATATCAATTTTAATTGTTTACTGTTTATGGTATTACATACTTAACGATCAAATACCACAGAATACTTTCCAATCAATTTGTCCCATTTAATTTCCCAGCTTTATAAATGGTTGCTACTTGTACTTCCAGGAAGTTGGGGAATGAAACACAAGTATAAACAGAAGGAGGAGGACTCATCTGATTTTTAATAAAAAGTGGTAAATAAAACCTACAATATGGGTTTCCACGGTCCTTTCAAAGGGTACAGGAGAGCTTGATATTGCTCTCATGTAAAAACACTGGGACTACAGAGGAAAAGTGGTATTGGGAGAGATCCAACGAGGTTTCTCCATCTCCTGAAGATGGCAATTTGGTTGATGAAACGCGCGTCGAGAAGGGAGTTGCATTTCTGGCGACTGCATATTTCATGAACTAGTCTCTTATGCAAGTGTACTCTTCCAATGACAAAAAGGATTTAGTTATTAATTTTTTTGAAAAAGGAGAAAGATATGACATTAATTACCGATGAATTTCACTAATAACATAACAAGTATATTTTTGCTTCAAAGGCATTCGATAAATTAGTTCAATTCGGTTTCCAAAATAATATACTGAACTGGTTACAATCTATATATGAATGGTCGTAAAATGACAGACAAATATGACTCTATCATATCTAAAGAACAAGATATGAAATTATAAGTTCCTCAAGGCACAGTTCAGGAACCTTTACTTTTTGGAGTGTATGTCAATTATCTTCCAGAATATGACTGTATATCTATGTTTGTTGACGATACAATAACAAATTGATAACATATGGATGAGTCTATCTATCTATATATATACTAATATAAATGTGAAAGTTTGTGGGGATGGATGTATGTATGTATGTTTGTGACTCTTTCACGCCTAAACGACTGAACGGATTTAGATAAAACTTCACATAAATACAGCTCAATAACATATAGTCTACAATTTACAAAAGTTTTATGTAATTTTAGTTATATATTCTTGCTCCCTGAGAGCTATCTTGGTGTGTGCAGCCAGTGGCATGTGCAGCCAGTTGGAGTTACATGCAGATAATGTACTGTAAGATTGTTTATCTTGAATAATTCTAAATAAAAGTCCGCAATAGCATATATCTACGTCTTTTTGGTAGCCACTAAATGCAAAATACTAAGCCATAAATACAATTAAATTGGAAACTTTTTTAGAATGCACATTTTAGAAAATCTGTCAATATCTTATGTCTTGATAATATTGTCCTATTAAGTATTTAATATAGATAACTTTCTCTTCAACACTAAGTAATGTGGATGAATCATTTAAAAGTTATCACGATAAGATTAACTTGATGCAGTGCAGTAAGCCATTACGCGTCGCGTCTACTGCAAGACGACGAGGAAGATGCGCAGTGGTAGAGAGATAGTCTAAGCAATGAAGCGCTATCGCCGAGAATGCGACCTGAACACGGACGCGTGAGGGCAGACGTCGTTGACGGTTGTGTTAGTTTTGCGTTGTGTCTTAGAATTTGAAAAGGGAGGTACCTTACCCCACCGGGGTAAGGTACCACCGGGCGGGGGAAAAAGGTATGACAGTTGAGGTTATGATTGAAGGATGTCCCCCTTGAATTAAAAATCTACCTGTCTTTACATTTTATTCTCAACAAATGTGTCTTTAAGATATTCAATCTGTTTCGTAACCGGTGCTATACAATTTATATATCGGTGTATTATTATTTAACAGTCAAGAATCAAGTCACAAGATTACAAAATTTAAGAACTCGCCTATTTATAATGCAACAATTGAAAATAAAAGTTTTATGCTGCACCAAAAAAGTTAATAAATCTAAAGAAATGAATTTTAAATGTTCAAACCAGTCTCGCTGCATTGATAAGTCAAGGTCTTCAATGGTTTTGGACAGAACCCCATGTAGTGGCTTATACTCGCGTTGCCGCAGGAATGAAGTGATCTCTACGAATTTTAATTAGGCTTTCTGCTGAACGGGTTACAACTTGGCGACATTATCAATACATAGATGGAGTTGTAGTGATGATGGAGTAGATTTGATAATAGCTACCTATATCCAGAAATAATTGAAACTGAAAATGAAACTGATCAGTTCACAGTAGGAAGATATTTCTGGATTCCTCTGATGTTTTCTCGTGTGGTGTCTCGTCATTTCAATATTAGGATAAAACTTTATTTCATCTCAATATTTCTCAGTTGAGTTCGTGAAAGACAAACAGTAAGAAAATTATATGCTTACTCATGCCTTGTCCTTTACATGAATAAATTTCATCTCTCATTATCAAAATTATTTTATGAGAAATCTTATCTCTGAAACTCACATCTTGATGTATTATTTTTTTATTTCACAGTTGCAAATGAAAGGCATTCTTAAGAACTTACCGTTTTTAGGAACTGCTTTGTCGAAACCAGCCATTGTTTGCATATCATAGCTTTGTTCAAGATCCAAAGCTCCCTGTAACAATGAGAAAGTTATATAATCGAATGGACAGCATTTTATCTAGTTAATTTAACAACTCATATAAATGAAATAGTTTCGGATCCTTCAATATATATTTACATTTATTCACTGATCATACTCATTTGGTCACATGTTGAAATCTCTCACTACCTGGGACTTTACACTTTTTTAAGTTCTGATATGTACCGATCTTGGTGGAATCAAGTCACTTGAACAACTCCCGTGAAAGTATCCATAAAAGAGAGACAAATCTCCAACCTTTCTTCAATGTTCCAGACTATCAAGATTGAAAGTGATCTTCACGTCTCCAATCAGGCGGATGGCTCTTTTCTGGATGAAATCCAGCAGCTTCAGGATATGCTTAGGGGTGGAGCTTCATACATGAGAACAATACTCCAAAGAAGGTCTGATCTGAGCTTTATAAAGCATCAGAAGTTGTTAAGGTGTATACAGTTTTCTGGTTCGGAACAGTGTTCCAAGCTTTTGAGAAGCAGCCTTTGCAATTACTGTGTTTAAAAACAAAATTTACAGCTTGTATAATAAACATTATTACACTATATATGGAGATGAAATAAAAAATGAAACAATAAGAAACAAAACAAAAGAATGAATAAATATAGTTTAAAAAAATTGAAAACATGCTTTTAAAGAACATCGAACTAAAAAGTTAAAATAACGAACGAAAAAACTAGTAACGGGTGATTTTCTAAGAGGTATAGGATTTGATTTTCAAAACAACACAAAAAAATTTGAAAATTGATGAAATTTTTATTGGAATCGACAGAACGATCAATATAATTTAATGTTTGAAGATGATTTCATGCAAATATTATCCGCGGTTCCGCTTTAGAGGGCCCATGCGCAAGGTCCAATTTTGGCACACTCTCTCTAACATATTGACCAGTATTTCACGTATAAATGCTTCAATATTGGCTTCCAGAGCGTCAGTCGTTGCTGGTTTATCCCTGTAGACATGAACCTTAACATGACCCCACATGAAATAATCCAAAGTCGTTAAATCGCACGATCTAGGCGGCCAATTGACGGGTCCCAAATGTGAGATAAACTGTTCACTGAAGGCGGCTCTTAATTGGGCCATTGTTTCGCGTGCCGTGTGACATGTGGCACCGTCTTGTTCAAACCATATGTCAGGCATGTCCAATTCTTCCACTATGGGCAACGAAACGTTGTCACTCATCACACGGTACCGCTCCTCATTCACAGTAACGTTTCGGCCATTGTCATCTTTGAAGAAGAACGGCCCGATGATGCCACCGACCCATAATCCACACCAAACAGTGACTTTTTCGGGATGCTTCGGTAGCTCTTGCAATGCTTGTGGATGGTCTTCACTCCAGATGCGGCAATTTTGCTTGTTAACGTATCCATTCAACCAGAAATGAGCCTCGTCGCTGAACACAATTTTTCGATAAAAATGTGGATCTTCGTCCAACTTTGCCAGCGCCCATTCACCAAATGTTGGACGTTGTGGGAGGTCGTGTGGCTTCGATTCTTGCACTAGCTGTATCTTATCAGGTTTTACACTCAAATCCTTTTGCAAAATTTTCCATGTGGTGGAGTAACGAAGGCCCAATTGCTGCGAACGGCGACGAATCGATATTTCACGGTCATCACGAACACTGGCAGATACAGCCGCAATATTTTCTCCCTCAGTAGGCCGACGAAACTGCCCATAAAATGGAAGAAGTGCACGATGCACTTTCTTCGCCGAGCATGAATATTGATAATAAAATTCAATAATTTGCAAGCGTTGTTCATTCGTAATTCGCTTCATGGTTAAATTATAGACCAAACTGAACAAGCTTGACAATGACACAAGATACGATTCACACGTGATCTATCAAAAACAGTGTTGCCAAAAAGATACAAGCAAAAAAATCATATGACACAAAGCGCCTACGCTTTCTTCACAATAATACTAGTATTTTTCGTTCGATATTGTTTGAAGCTTTTTTAAAAAAAAACATTTTTAACTTTTAAGTTCGATGTTCTTGTCTTGTTGTCAATGTTTCTTTAGTCTTTTTGAACTATATTCATTTTATATGAACTTTGGGATCAATCAGCCGTATATTGTTTAGAAAAATGACAATTGATATTTTCCGATTCCGGAGAGGGAGCCTGAAAATCAGCTACCAAGCCCAAGGCAGCAGGCGCGCAAATGAGCGTTACAAATAAGGCAGCAGGCACGCGTGTTAATAAAAAAATCCTTTTTTTAAATGAAGAAATACATGTAAAGTGAGTTCGAATTATATCGATGAGGTTACTTACAGCGCCATCTGCCCGCGAATAGATCAAGCAATAATGTCAAATTCAAATTCTGTCAAATACAGATCCGGAGCTTGAGAGTTACAAACAAACATACATACATACATACTTACATACAGATGAAGGTAATAAAAGCGTGTTAAAAAATAAGTACAAACATCATTTGATCTATAGAAAACTTCAAGAGTGGTTCAGTCAATACTTTTTCGCCTCTTTTTTGAATTGTTTGAAGGATGTTATATCTTTTATATTTATAGGTAAGACGTTGAATATTTTTGGACCATAAAAGAAAAAAGAATTCTGTGTGACCGTTTTACTAAAGAATTCAATTCAATCGAAATCTGCTCATTTATGGAACATTCTTATTAGACAATGATAAATGTATAGTGAATGAATATTTAACATGTTGGTTTCTTGATATAACTCTCTTGTTGAAAATAGTCTATTTTCTTTCAAAGATATAAAATGTTTTGAGCAGTTTGTAATGCACTAATAGCATTTTTGAAAGTTGCACCCCAAAGAGGAATACAATATTTCATTATAGATTCGACAAGAGAGGTATAGAGTATTATAAGATTTTTTTTGACAGTATGTCACGTAGTTCATAAAAAGTGTGCATAATTACTCTGAGCCTTTTTGCTCCAAAGTTGATATGTTTCATCCATTTTAGGTGCTGATCTAAAATAACTCCGAGGTATTTTATAGATGTGGTTTGTTCTATGATCTGACAGTCGCAAGTATTTTGATTATTACAGTGCGGTATATGCATTTTTATTTTGTAATTTTGGGTTGATCACCCCACCCTTCGTGATGGGGTGGGTGAGTGATTTTGAAAAAAGTCACTAAATTCTGAGTGTAAAGTTGGAATTCTCGAAGGAAATCCAATAAAAGTGTAAGTTTGAAGATGGAATTGATTACATTTTCGAGAATAGGGTCACAATTTTGCCAAAATTTCAAGAATGAATTTGAATTTTACCAAAATTATTATAGCTGAAAATAAGAATTATATTAACCAAAATAAACCTGAAATGTGTTGTTTCAGGGATTTCAAATCATTTTATATAGTAGACAATGGAAGCCTGAACTAGTGAAATTCATCATGAAACATTGTCAATCACCTTCAAACAAAAATTATTATAGTTAAATTCTGACCTCAATTACAGATTACTGTTAAATTTTTATTTCAGATAACCGTAAATAAAATCATAATATTATTTACCTGATCACATTCCAAAGTAAGAGGTTTGAGAAATTCACTTGAGGGTTGAGGTAGAATTTTCAAAATGTTATCTCCATTAGTATTTACATTACTGTTGAAAATTTCTTGAACTTCTGTATCATATTCCTCCTCCTCTTCTTCTTCTTCTTCTTTCAAACCATCATATTCTTCACAATTGTAACTAGAAGGTTGAATTGGTTTATCGCTACCAGGTAGTAGAGAACATATTGCTTTCATTCTATCTACAATCTGCAATAAATTTGATTCAGAAAATTAAGGAGTTTATTGATGAATATGGAGTGAGGATCGACTAGTCATTTAAAATTCAAAACTTTAGTTATAGTAATTCTACAACGTGCTAGGGATTGCATGATGAAAAGCGAGACCTCGTTAATCCCAAACATATATAAGTTCTGATAATATAATTCGTGTGTACCTTTCTAATCGGCGGCAGAATGTTCTATTAGATGGAATTTCATCAGAGGAACGTTTCATTGGCAGTGGGGTTCCACAAGGTTCCGTTTTGGGACCGATGTTGTTTCTCATTTATGCCAATGACTTAGTCCATGTTGACATAAGTGGTAAATTCATTTGTTTTGCTGAAGACACCACTATCCTCTGGCATAGCAATACCGCCTCAAATTTACTTGATCAAATCATTGTCGACATAAGAAGGGTGAGAGAGTGGTGTGATTCCAATCTTTTATCATTCAACATCGACAAAACAAATGTGGTCACGTTTAGATGTAACATAGAGAAAGTATACTTTGGACAAAAACAAATTTTTAGGGCTCTTTCATTGATGAAAATTTATTATGTACCCCCTTTAAGTGGCTGTATCTTAACAAGGGATGCTCCAATGAAATTTCTTTATATGAAAGATCCTATCTTTTTTTCGATGAGGAATCACCTCCTTAAATGTTTTTCACTCATTTAGTTACACCCAATGAAAAGAAATTCAGAAAGAAAGTAAAAGAATTCCTTGTTGAGAGGTCCTATTATAGTGTGGACTAATTCTACCAAGGCTCTATCGAGTAATTGGCATGTAGCTTTCTGTAAACAAGTTATTGAAATAAACACGAAATGGCTATCAATGTTCATCAGATAGCATTATATATTTACATTTACTCAATATTCATATATTCATGTACTTATATTTGTATCTGTTCAGCTGGGCTTAATATTGTTCTGCCCATACACTCTGCTCTTGTCTCTAAGCATTATTTTATAGGTTATATTTGTTAATTTGATGTCCCATATACACGTTTTACTTTACTAGACTTTGCCAATATGATGTTCAGATCTTGGGTAATAAAGCATATTTTGATTCGATTTGATTCAATTTGTGTACCACCAATTTCATCAAAATTCCTAGTGAGCGGAGAAGTGTATGTTCTCTTTAAGGAAGAAAAGGATGCTAAATCGCACTTCTCAAGTTTTCACAAAAAGATAACACAAAACGTAGAAATTGGTGTTATCAATTCTTCTTTCATATTATTCAACTGAGGTTGGTTATTTAGTTGAATAGTATATGTAACATGATGGGTAATTAATAATAATAATACAAATATTTACAGTGATTTTTACATATGCTTACATAATATAAAAATCTCGATCACTACAGAAAGCTAAGTATAGAAATTTAATTTTTTCGATTGATTTTTTCCAATTTGTAGGCAAAATTTATGAATAAGACAAGTTACTGACTAATTGAACTCTTCAGTGATTTATATTACACAATAACTTTTCAGGTTGAACTTTTCAGTTTGCCCTTCATCACACTCCAGCAAATTCTCTATTGATTTAGCTTTGTTTGTTTTTCAAATTGTGAAAGGAGAAAAATTGAAGTAATCATAATACATACCTCATCCATACTAGGCCTCTTTGATGGATCGTGGTCCCAGCAAGAAGTCATCAAATTTTCAATAGGTTGTGGACAATTTCTCAACAAAGGAGGTCTTTTACCCTTATGTACGGCCCACATGATACTGAATGCTGTACCTCCTTGGTTGTAAAATGGTTTCTTTCGGGAGGTGACCTCCCATAAAATTATGCCCCAGCTGAAAACATCACATTTTTCTGTGTAATGGGAGGATGAGAAAACCTGAAAAATACCAGTGAATCAGTGTTAGGGATGGGCAAGTTCATTGAATATGTCAATTCCATCCACCCGTCAATAAAATTCACCACTGAGAGGGAGGTAAATAATTCAATAAATTACCTTGACTTAACTCAAAATACTTAATTAACCTATTGTCTACATTCATTAAATGACTAATTTTTCAACATCTATTTTCAGACTTCATTGTCCAATTGGAATTTTTTCAATATTAAATAACTGATGGCAACCAAAATCAATAAACACTTTTGTTTATCGCAAGAAAAATAAACTATTAGATATCTCCACTGTAAATCTTATCACTATGCTGGCGTCAAAAAAAGATATAGTTATACTCTGTCCCTCTAAGATATAGTTTAGATGTTTGTGTGATAGGCTATAGACAGTTTGCAGTTCAGTTAATAATCTGAAAACGCATATCCGGAGCAGTTTGTGGGAAGACCTCTCAATGAAGTGGATAAAAGCAATACACAACATATACAGATTCCACAATCATCACAAACCTAACAGAAATACATATACATCATAACTACTGTCATACCTTATTTTCTCGGTTTGTGTGAGAAATTGAGAGTTATCGGTTATAGATATAATGTAAGAACAACTACCAACATATTGAGATCTCTTTTGACATAAACAATTCCCGAAACTACGGTTAAAAAAATGAAAAATTGTATTTACAATATACCTTGTTTATGTCAAAAAAAAGTTATATAGGTCAAACCTAAAGAGCCCTAGATTTGAGAAAAAATGAACATCATGAATATATAAGGAGAAGACAGGTAACAGGATCGGGAATAACGGAGCATATTCTAAAATCATCTGGTGATCCTGCTATAAAATGGAGCGAAACAAAAATCCTCACAGGAGAAACTCGTTAAAAAATTAGAGAATCAAAGCTTTTTACAATTTGAGACGAGGAATTCGAAATGAATTTTGGTTTTTGAAAACGGCAAAAATCTCGATCACTACAGAAAGCTAAGTATAGAAATTTAATGTTTTCGATTGATTTTTTCCAATTTATAGGCAAAATTTATGAATAAGACAAGTTACTACTGACTAATTGAACTCTTCAGTGATTTATATTACACAATAACTTTTCAGGTTGAACTTTTCAGTTTGCCCTTCATCACACTCCAGCAAATTCTCTATTGATTTAGCTTTGTTTGTGTTTCAAATTGTGAAAGGAGAAAAATTGAAGTAATCATAATACATACCTCATCCATACTAGGCCTCTTTGATGGATCGTGGTCCCAGCAAGAAGTCNTTCTTTATTAATATTCACTTCAATGTTGTTCACATTTTTCATTTGAAGATTATATAAACTATCTTTTCTAAGTTGATTGTTAACATGAGGTCATTCAACCACGAATTTTTATTTTTTTCTGAATGAAATAGGAGTACAAGATTACCTGCAAATGAGAAGTGATCATCCATCAAATCTATTTGTTCAACATCATAAACACAGGTTAAATAGAAACGTGGAGCTAAAACCGAACCATATGGAACACAAAAAGTTGAAACTGTTCCATCACTTTTGCAATCATTGCTATACTGATTTCAAAATTGAAAATAATTTTCAAAGAATGACCTGTAACTCCTGAATTCTTTGATAAAATATGTTATATAACTCAAAAGTGGGAGTTCATTCGTAGTAGTATGATGGAATCGGCCGATACTTGATGAAAATCCATAACTAACGTATTCTAAAAACACTTTATTGTGTGATTTTCACTAGATAGTTTTACAAAAACGCAACACGTGTTTCGCCATACAATGGCTTCCTCGGGCGTGTCTTAATAACTAATTCTACACATTAAATGCTATATATACCTTATTCTACAATTTGAGGTACCTGAATTTCAAGTACCTGATATTTTACCTAAGTTTGTAATGAATTTAATTACCTGAGCTTATGTTTCATTTTTCACATTTGAAAAATATTCAGTAACGGAGAGTTATTTAATTCTAATTGATCATTCAGTAAATTACCCAAATTCCTGATTCTATGGATTTCTAAACATTCTAGAAGATTGAGTTTCAAACTCTTCTCTTCTAACTGTAAGACGTCGCTTTCATGATTGAACTCATGTTCTTCTGCTAAAAGGCGGTTTGCAAATGTGGAATTGGTCTTTTTATTTACAAAATTACTTCTATGCTCTTTAACTCTTTGGGAAAATGTTCTTCCAGTTTGGCCAATATACAGTTTTGGACAAGAGCCACAAGTCAGCTTATATACTCCTGATCTATCCAACAACGAAGTTTTGTCTTTATTGTTTTTAATAAATTAACTTAGATTATTATTCGTTCTGTAAGCTCCGTTTACGCCTTCTTTCTTAAAAAAACAGGCAATATTCCTGGTTGGTTCACCCAAATGTGCCAATGTCCTATAATTGACATTATCGCATCTTGAATATTACCCGTTATTAACCGCGATTTGTTTGATCAAATTCAGCTCTTTCTGGAACTCCCTGACAGACAATGGAATATTCAATAATCTGTGAAGCATACCATTGAATAGCAGACCATGTTTGGACCCATCAACACAACATAGAGTGGTCCTAAGCTGAGATCTTGCACAGAGAGGAACATTGGTTTAGGAGAAAATTTAAGGAAGCCGCATACATGTTGTCCAACAACGTATTCAGCCAGGCCAGCGTAGAAATAGGCAACATATGGAAACCCATCATCAAACGAAAAATGGCCAACTCCCGCCAAAACGGTCATCTCTCACGGAATCAGTTTTATATTTTTACTTGTAGGTTATTTCACTATCATTCCATTTCAGGTTTATTGTTGCTTAATATAATTGTTATTTTCAGCTATTCATTTTTAATTATTCTTTTTTACTTGTTTCAGGGATTTCAAATCATTTTATATAGTAGACAATGTAAGTCCGAACTAGTGAAATTCATCATGAAACATTGTCAATCACCTTCAAACAAACATTTATCTTTATACTATGCTAGAAGCATATCATAATATTCTTTGGAAGACATTATTTTTGTGAAGGAGTCTTCAAAGGCTTATATTACACAGAAACTTTTCAGACTGAACTATTCAGTTCTCCGTTCTTTACAAAGCTGAAGAAGAAGAAAACCGAAATGTTTTTTTCCCAATCATTTTGTTTTCAGCCACATAACTAAAACACAGAGTTCTCTTCTTTATTTCAAACACATAAAAATGAAGAATTGCAGCCAACATATTGCAACAAGCAAGAATTTAAAATGGTACCTAATCCTATAGAGACGGGTTGGCTGTCCTAGTTCATTTTTCACTGCCTGAACCACTGTTCATGCTGTTTTTGGCGAGTGCATTGGCTTGGGATGTGGGGGTTGAGCAAACCCGCTGGATACGGGAATGACAGAATCACTTGTGGTGTGGGCGCCCTCTCGTCGTAGCATCGCCTTTTCATGGTCAATCACGGCAGGCCTCTGCCGTGATTGACCTTCTTTCCCTAGCTACTCGTGGGACTTTTATGGACAGAATAAACTTAAAAATTCTTTCCGACTGACTCTATAGAGGACATGGGTGTCGAGCTTATGACTCATGTAGTTCAGAAACGAGAGCTTCTCATCTCCCCAACTCCTGATCCAATAACTGACCTAAAAAAAAAGGTTGGTGGTGCATCTCCCCAAGAGCGGGGTACCTTATTAAACCGCCTTGAACCAAATTCTTGAGAGGCGTACGCAGAATCTGTCTCAAGTGGAGGAACAAACCCCCCATGAGCAGGTTAGCAAACGTTTGCGCTCAAGTGATGATTCACCAAAACCAGAGGCGAAAAAGCCCTACACGGTTGAACCCAAGGCATCGTCAGGTGTAACTGACGTGCAAAAACCTTCATATGGGAAGGTTGTCGCGGGTATCAAGGTGGAAATCTTGCACCTTGACTATCTGACTATCTCATTAATGATGAAACAGCAGAGCATATACTTTTCCGTCCCCGCTGGGGACCGAATCACCATCTTACCATCTGACCTGAAAGACCACTCACCATACAAAGTAATCAACTGCGTTAAGCAGCTGGGTTTATTTGGTCGAGTGTGAATAGCTGAAAGCCACAATGCACCTTTACGGGTTGCGGTGGAGGATCGAATAGACCCACTCACTTTGGACCTAACCTAACCCTATAGAACACAGACAAATGTCAATATCAATTTGACGTTTATTAAAAATGTGGGTGCTTCTATTTACCTTTAAGATCAATACAGAATGCGTGGTAGACTTTAGCTTTTTATACTCTTTTAGATATATTTTGTTAGGTAATACATATCTGAAAAACTACAGTATATACTGAGGCGATTAAATAATGTTGTCAGCTTGATGACGTTCAAAAGAACCTATTATGATTTGGGGTCATTCAGGTAACTCCATTAGTGTTTTCAGATGCCGCAAGAGAGAGATTCATGAAAACTTTGATAAATTTAACAAACATTGTGATATTTATGAATATGGAATGAGATGCGCAAGTTTATTGAATCTGCCCAGACAGAAATTAAGAATTAGCAAGAGAAATTCACTAAACTTACATTTGTATAATCATTTTCAGTCGTCTCTGAAGTCACTTAGCCTTACAAAATTTAAATCTACTATTAAAAAGTTTTTTCTAAAACACTGTTTTTATAACATTGAGGAATATATTGACGTGGCAGGGTCTTTGAAAGATCTCATTAAATCTTAGTTTATTGATTTTTTTTGTAGATGATTTAATCTTTGTAACTCCGAACAAGGGTTTCTGTATTCGTGACTTGCCATAAATAAACTAAAGTATGTAAAATGGTCAAATAAAGTACTGAAGTGTATCTTGTTTTCAGAGCAATTTGAGAATTAGACAACTAATTCCCATATTGTCTGAACTCATTGTTAAGTTCTTTGAAGCTATTTCCAGATAATGGCAGATTTTTCATCTTTCATTTTTCTTTATTTTGCCGGGAGAATGAAAATATTCCAACAACAACTTGAAGAGGAACGATATGTCAATATGTCGAAACTGATCTCTTTCTATTGAAATTCAATATATTGATTTCAAAGAACACCACATGAAGAATGAATATTCTGACTTTGATCTTATGAATGAACAACATAAAAGTTCAAATGTATTAATTGATAGGCCTATGCTAATTCTTGATAGATACCTAATACAGTGTGTTAATTGATTTAATGCGGGCAAGTTATGATTGTTTCTTTAACAAAAACAATGTTACATCCTTGACTTCCTTTCATTGCTCCAATATTCTATGGGTGAATGAAAGTGATAGAAGTGCATGGTGAAAATCATCAAATTGTGTTCGGTGAGAATGGTTTTTATTAAATAGAGAAATATAAGGGTTATGAAAAACAAGGGCACATGACTGTGTTGAATACTCAATAAATTCATATTCATTTTATTTTATATACATGTGAAGACTGTGAAGTGTCGTATGTGTTTGCGGTTGTGTACAATACCCTTTTTTTCATATTTGCACATTTATCAAAATTAAGATCCAAATGATTTTTTATATATCATTCAGTGGAAGTCATCTTGAAATTTATATCGATGATTAGAAAAAGTAAGAGAATATTTATATGAAGTATCTGTGTCAGAATAAAAACTGTATCGCCAGTTAATTTTTAGTTGTTGTGATTTTATATGATGCTTTATGTACTACATTGGAAAAACATGTTGACTATTATATGGCAGGGTAGTACTATGCATTCAAGGTATTGGCTTAGTCAGTATACATAGAGGCTGCATTAACTGTGTATGATGCATACATCCAATCTCGTGTTAGATATGGAATTATTTTTTGGTCAAATTCTACAGATGCCCACAGAATTTTCGTAATCCAAAAAAGGCGCTTGATAAGCATACTGAGTATGAAACAAACCGATAGCTGGAAAAATATATTTCCAAAGGTAGAGGTACTAACCCTGGTGGGACTATACACGCTGATTCACAGTGGATGGATAGACGTTTCTGGTGAACCAGACGAGGGCTAACTATTCAAATTTAGTGGATAGCATATTCGCACATTCTCTACCCAACTAAAAATATTTTCAGCAATGCGGTGTTGCCACTTCCATTAGAAAGCTTTCATTTTTCAAATGGAACACCCTGTATATAATATTGTTTTTGGAATCTACAACANTATTATCAACATGTTCTACACCCTTTTGGTATTATGTATTGTACACTTGAACAAATAAAAATATCTATCTATCTATCTAAATTACATCAGATCCTGTTAAAAACTTTGAATTTACTTATTCCAACTAATGGACGAAGAACTATCACTACTATCTTACCTCTGGTGCCATCCATGCAGCAGAACCCTTGTTATTTGTCATGTAAGTATTCTTATCTGCTGCAGTTCCAAAATCACAAATTTTTAGAATAACACCTCCGTTTATCAAAAGTAAATTTGGAGGTTTCAAATCTCTATGTATCAACGGCTTTGGTTGCATTGCATGCAAATATTGTACACCCTGAAAATAAAAACAACTAAAATAAAGCCTCAATTATATAAATTAATAGTTAACGCAGAATGTTTACAAATCAAAAGAATTTGATAAATTTGAACTGTTTTTTTCTTCGCTATATAGTGTCTAGTAAAATTGTAGTGTTGTGAGAAAAATGGTTCAAGTCCTACCTGATAAAAAGGACTTTAAAACCCTCCCAATGTGACTTATACCACATACTAGGTTGTTCTGTAAATCACTCAGATCCCAATCTTTGAGCCAAGTGCGTACACAAAACATAAGTGTCTTCCCTCATTGGAGGGAAGCCGATTGGCAGTTAAACGATGTTGAACTGATTTTTCTTCAATTATTTTGGTGCATTTTATTATTGATGAATCTTACTTTAACAAACCACTCGACAAATAATATAGGGAATGGATCCCCAAATGATTGTTCAAGCAGTGAACAATAAACATATTTTACATACTTTGAATACTTGAAAGAAAAACATTTGAGAAAGAAAATATTGAAATAACCCTTTATTGTGAAATTTTCAACAAACAAAACTTGGACAAATCTTTCACTATACAATAGGTTCTTCAGGTGGTTTCGTAAACTGTTGAGTAGTAAAAATCTTACAATAAAGTATTATCTGAATATATTACCATTGAATTCTCATCAACAACTGCAATTCCATCATATTTTTAAGCAAGAAATGAAAGCATTCCTAATCAAAAATATAATATATAATATACTGGGAATATTTTGTGACTTTCCTAAACTATGGTGTAACTGTTTTTTGAAAGCAATACAATTATAAAAAATGATGTATATGCAAAATTAGTTGAAATTTGAATACATTTTCAGAAAGAGATGATATACTAACATCAACTGCTATTTCATAATTAGAATCCATACCTTAGAACACTGATAAGCCCAAGACATTGCATGGGCCAGGGAATATTCAAAGTTCGAACGATGTAAAACATTGAACAAAGAACCCCCTTCAGCATATTCCATAACAAGACAAAACTGTGAACCCTTTGTACAGGCACCATACAATTTCACTATGTTTTCATGATCCACTCTTGAGAGTTGACGTACTTCTATCAGAAAGGATTTTTTCTCTGCTTCACGAGTTATGTTTTTTACAGCTACTAATGTACCACTCCATATCCCTTTGTAAACCACTCCAAAGCTGCCCTCTCCTACAATCTACAAATAATTATTCATTCACTGTTGAAAGCTGACAATTTCAATAAAGATTCTATTTGAAATATTTCTTAAAAGGGACCAAACAGCTAATTATCATTTTGTACTCTTTGCATGTCAAAAATATAAATAATTTTTGATATTGAATAACACAATGAATTCCAATGAAAATAGTGAAATTATTTCAATGTTTATATCCTCTAACATAAAGCAGCTCGAGTAGATTTTTTTGAATTTGCAAATTACTTATTTTTTTGCTGGAATGTATTATTTTCTTACTTCTAACTGTTGTATCTCATTGTGATCAATTTCTCTGACGTTATATTGGTTTTCATGATCAGTTTGATCCGTAGTGGCCATCGAATACTGTTTTATCACATATTTGTATAAAACTATTTTAATTGTTCGAATTATTAATAAATAGTTTAGAATATTTATTTTTTAGTAAATCTTTGGTTAGAAATTTAAGATCAAAAAATTAATGTCAGAAGTCGAAACGTCAAAGTTGACATCAGAAACAATATAGCGTTTTCCATTGTTAAAGCCAGTGTTGTATTACACTACACTGGTTCTGGCAATTACCACCAATGGTGCAAACGGGAAATTCATCGTCCAGATACAATGTCTATCGGAAATATCAGAACTGAACCAGAAGATAAACAAAAACAAAGTCCTGTCAGCTGTTTTTACGATCGTGTTTTTTTGTGCTTTCAGTCAGCCAAAATAATTTATTTTACCTATTTTTCAAGTGTCCATACCTATAATTATCACACAAAAATATTTCCCTCAACAAATTAACCATTTAACAACTTAAAACACAGTAAACCTCAAGACTAAAAATCCAAAACTATAAACATAGCCTATGTTTCAGCTATTTCGATCATCGTTTGAGTAGCGGTAGAAATTATTATCAGAGCCGCATATTGAGGCAGTGTTTGAGTGCAGAGTGTCCTGGAGCGAACATTTTTGAACCCATAACCGGAATGAAACAGCTTTTTTAGATTATGGAGTAGTTTACTTTTTTATGCAATGTTTTTGTTTTTCATTTATTATTTTGTTTGAGCGAACATTCATATTTCCTTCAGCCATAATTATAGTCATAATCAATACAAAGATGCATAAAAACCATAGTATTTTTGTCAAAACTGTCGACGCGAAAAATAAGATTGACCCGACTTTGTGTACAGAATGGGCCAAATTGGACACCTTTAAAGAGATACTCCTCTTTTCAAACAAGATTGATGAAAACTGATGGCTGTTACTGAAGGTCAAATTTTATGACAAACTCAATGATGAAAACCGCATATCGATATCTATCATCGTTTCTGAGTAACAGCATGTTTTTTGAAAATGTGCATTTTCGAAAAGTTGCAGTAACTTTTTTCCCGTCAACAATTTCATGTTTCTATAAAAACATTTCCTATGCAGTTTTTTACGTAGAATTCAATGGTGTAAAAAACTTATTTGTTCAAATGAGATGTCATCAATAGAGTTTTTGATGGAAAACTATTTTCTTTTCAATGAGACAACCTGTATATTCCTGCATAGTTCAACAGAGCTCGAAATTACCTTTCCAAAAATGTGGCACACTCGATGTTTGAAATACAGAGCTTATAGATTTTTTCATGTATACTTTGAAACGCACACTTTGATGAAGTAGGCTTTGGACGACATGGCGATATAACAGAAATAAATGTTTTAGTAGTAGCTATCAAACGTTGACAAAGCTTTTCGCAGCAATAGGTAATTAAAACGCATAGTTTCAATAAAACTGATAACAATTCATACTATATTCACTACCGTATTAGGAATCACACGTTAAAAGGTAAGACCTCGTTAGGCCTTAGCTCGCTCAAGTTCTCAACTTTTGAGAGTTGTCGTTCATATGGAGACGACAGCTGATTAACGGAAAAACAGATTTTATACAGAACAGATTTTTTTTACTGATAAATGAAATTTCAACAATCATAATAATAATAATGATAAAGAACAAACAATGAAATATATTTCTTCAGAGAAGGTGTTTGAAATGTATACCAGCTTCTCCTACACACAGGTAACACCTTTCCTCGTAGAATTAATCATTTCAATAGGAGTGAGAGAAGCAAAACTTTGTATCATGCTCGCTTCCAATTCATATCTAGAATTGATTGGCAATTTAAAAATAAGATTTTGGTGTCATAAGAGTTAGGTCCGGTGACCTGGCCGGCCAACGGTTGAGTCCTTGGTTGGCTATCCAATCAATTCAACAATATTACCTGAATCAAACTTATTGGAAGCATTTTGGAATATGATTCCATTATCTGGTGTCCTCAATGTAACTGTTACAAGTATAGCATTGAAAAAGTTCAAAACAAGTTTCTGATGAGATATTTTCACTTCAAAGAAACAGGTAACTAATATGACCTTGATATATCCAAAGTAGTTCTACTTGAAAAGTACAACATTCAAACCCTCGAGAAAAGAATAGTACTTGCATACTTAATATACATATATACTTTTACCAGATGATACATGATACACAGTGAAGTGAATGATCCCTGTGTTCTATCAAAAATCAATTTCAATGCTTATGAAACTAGATCGTTTTGCATATTTTATATTGAATCGGCAAGAACAAATTATTATCAAAATGATCCATTAAATGCTATGTGCAATGCCTATAATAATGTACAAAATGACTGTGATATCTTCTTCTAAAATTTTACTAGTTTTAGAAATAGGTTGTATGAAATTGTTTAACTTTTGTTGAATATTTTTTTCATAACTCTTTCTCATTTTGTTGTATGTACAAATCTATTTTTGTGATATTTACCTTTCCTACTCTGTAACTGGGCCATGGTCTGTAGAGTCTGTAAATAAATGAATTAGCAAAATTTGATGCCGAAAAATTGGTAAAAATTACAGTGTTGTGAGGTGAAGCCCCGTCTTGTTGAAAATATATTTTTCTGAGCTACATTAGAGGCAATTCATCAACACGGGGTTCAGTATTTTACCTTAATATATCTAAATACTCCTGACATGTGAGAGTGCTATTATAAATGAACGGGGCCGATAATTCTACCACTGAAAACCGAAGCCCACACACTAAATCCAAATCTTCCACAATAATATGATGATTTTGTTGTGCCCAAGTATAAAAATTGTAGGCGTTGAAAATGCCGGCACTGCTCATATAAGCTTTGTCTGTCCAAACAATTTAACGAAAAATCACGCACTTAGTTCCAACTTTCCAAAAAGCCATGCGGCGTTCAAAATCTCCTGGTCTGAGTTGATGAACTCTTCTGGTCTTGTATGGCTTGAATTTTGAATTTGTGTTTTTTCAAAATCCTCCTAACGTTAGTCCTTGTAAGGCTTGACGATATTTTCAAATTTCGCGTTGATGTTTTAGGAGTATTCACAACAGCTCCTAAAAAGACTATTTCTTCCAACTTCTTATCCGTATTTGATTCATATAATTTTGGCTTTTTCTTTTCAAATTGACCACCATCAATTAAGTTGTGTCGCAATCTTGCGAAAAGTCTCTATATGCATATTTCAATAGAGCTTAAAATTACCTTTCCAAAAATATAGCACACTTGATGTTTTGCTAGAGTCATCTTTGAAATACAGAGCTTCAAGATTTTTTCATGTAGACTTTGAATTTGAAACCCACATTTTCATCAAGTAGGCTTTGGATGATGCGGCGATAAAATAGCTGGTAGCTGCTATATTTTGATTTGAGGAGTGAAGGCGCTTTTTAATCAATGGTCTCTGTTCAATTTTCGAACACATTCGCAATGAAGTATGAGAATTATAAAAAATTGCAGGAGCAGCAAGCAATTTGTATCACAAGAGGTATCCAGAGAAATAACCTTTTATCAGGAATATACAGTTTCATTAAAAAAAGCTTTCCATCAATAAATATTGGTATCTCATTTGAAAGAATAATTTTTTACACCATTGAATTCTACGTAAGGAAGTGTCGCGGAAATAAGAAATTTTTGACGGGAAAAAAGTTACAGCAACTTTTCGAAAATGAACATTTTAGAAAAATATGCTGTAACTCAGAAGAGACGATAAATATCGATATATGATTTTCACCATTGAGTTTGTCATAAAATTGGATCCTCAGACACAGCCATCAGTTTTCATCTATCTAGTTCGAAAACAGGAGTTTCCATTCAAGTGTCCAATTTGACCCACTCTGTACATGTTGACAGATGATGCTAGATTCGACATTGTCAAGCTGCCTTACATGACTTGTACTCAGTACCTCTGTGAATAAAATATTGATTTTCATTGGATAATCTTATTATTTCTTTAACAAGAGTGCCGTAGGCCAGGATGGGTCCAAGTGATAACACCAAGCATCAGGGATATTCTATGCATCTTGATCAAAAGACCAAAAGAAAAAATGAAGAGACAGTTGACAAGGAATAAGCGCGTCATTTCATATTATTGTCTATTGTCTATCATGTATATTGATTATTGGAATTCAATTTTGTAATTCATTGAATTTTGTGGCAGTGCCATCTTTATTATCTTTTTGATCTAAATTTACCGTAATCAAACGAAATGAAAGCGTGAACTTCACATTTCGATAATCCTCCTTGTTCTCTATGAGGTTTGCGAGTTTTTTTGTGAGCAATCAAAGAATGTACAGATTTATTTTCCTCAAAATGATCAACATGTGTGAGAATAGTATTTGCATAGGAATATTTGTGTGTGAATATAAGCGACTTCTTGAATTCAACCAAACATTTGTCTTTATTATGAATTGCTTCAACCAAATGAGCGAACGTTTCGAACGGATCCTGTGAGCATATCCACACGATGCCTGGAAAAGTAAACACGAATGTATCTTTTTAAACATTTACATAATTGACATGTTTCTTAGATATCTTAAACAGTAAGAATTGGTGATCACACATTAAAAGGTGAGACCTCTACAATCCTTAGCTCGTATTAGTTTTTACTTCTGAGGGTTGTCGTACATGGGGAAGCGACAGCTGGTTAACGGAAAAATAGATTTTACCTAAAACCACCGGATACTTCAATGTTGGCAACTGAAACGCCCTCTTCGTGTTAAATCAGAACTACATGTATACGTTTCATCTGTCCTCCAAAAACCGCCAAGGGTACGTTTCTTGGTGGGTCTAATACTTCATTTTAAATTTTGTATTATTGAGAATTTGAAGTTTTATTTGTGGTTCCACGATGTTTCCATGGATTTATTGTTGAAATCAAAATATTTTAAAAATGAGACATATGCGTGTTCTCTATTCAATCGCCCTTTGTTAACAATGAAATAATGTCAAATGTCAAATATGGATTTAAATTAAATGAAAAGCGTAAAAGATTATTTGGTATTTTTATATTTGATCTAGTATATTTTTGGTTTCTTTCTAGTAATTTTTTAAACAGACAACATTCAATTTTTGGTTGTGTATATTTCATTTTTGTTACTTATTTATATATTTAGATTAATTTTATTTTTTTATGTAATGGCTGGAAAACGCAGACCTACAAGTGATTTAAATCATGATAACTGGGATAAAGAAGAGGAACCAGAAGACGCTGGAACCTTCAAAAGGGCTTCAGAGGAAGAATTGAAGAAAAGGGTCATAAAAACTGCAAGAAGAAAGAAACCTATTGTGAATGAGGTGTGTTATTTTGCTCTAGTAGCCAGGAAAGGAGGATCTTACAAATCTTCAACATGTCTTGATATAATACTTGAAGCAGCGAACCTATTATCAAATACTAAATAATAACTATTATAATAATGACAACAAGCTCCTCCAGAAAAAAGGATAATGGATAGGCGTTGAAAAGATTGGAATGTCTCAAAATCCAAAAAGTATTGATTTCAATCATTAATTTTTCACTTTGTGAGGTTTGGTGATCCAAATAATATTTTCAAATTTTTTTTATTCATTGGGAAAGGGATCAAACATTTTTTTCACTAAACAGTTGTTGTTTACCTAATAAAGGTTGAACATCTAAAATATTGGGGCTTGCAAAGTCAAAATTGTGGTTGTTTTCTCTTGTGTGTTCAATGAGGGATGTTGGATTGGCAATATTCAACTTTTTTGTATCTCTTTCATGTTCCGATAACCTGTTTTTCTGGTAAACTTTGTTTTTTTTTACCTAATATGAGATTATTAAAAACTATAATAATTTGCAATATGTAATCGGAAACATTTGCAAAAAACTAAATTGTTCATCTAAGAACAAATATTTGACTCCTTTCCCAACTAATAAAAAAAATTTGTTTTGACATTGATTACCGATTATGTAAATACGATGACTAAACATAGTTATTCAAACTATAATTGGTTGTCAGTAAAGATATTAATATGATTATGCTGCTTATATTGAAATTATTTCTGAGCATATTTTTTAGTTTTCATGTTTTTCGAAAAGAATTCATGAACTAATGATTCTGGGGAAAAAATATCCTTTTTTACTAATTGGGATTTTCATAATTCAACTTTTTATTAGTCAGTTTGCGATATCTACAACCTATTGGATTTTTTGATTAGATAAAATTTACATTCATTTCATCTCCATTGATAGAATCTATGGAAATTATTTTGTCAAACATCTTGAGAACAATCAAACATGGTACATATAAGTTTTCTTCGATATTTTTAGTTGTTCGCATGTCCAGTGTCCATAAAATATTCGAAGTCAAAACATTATTACAAAAAATGTTCATATGTTTTATATAGAGTTCTTTCAGTTATATTTAGGTATTTCATAAATAACTGGTAAATTATTTCATTTGATTTATCCCATATCATTGTAATTATTGAAAAAAAAAACAAATTCAATATCTTCAGTAATTTTGGATACATTGGACAGGAAAGTTTTTGGAAAAATTGAGAAAAATTGGGTTTCAGGAGATACCCAGTGCTTCATGTTCATTTCAACTTTCAAATAATTATCTTGATTTCTTCATTAAGATTCTGATGATTTGTGTAATCAAATATTTATTCCAACAGTAAAGCTATCTACATATTGGAAAATTAAATGCATTGACGGAGCCTATACAAATGACGAAGGGAAAGAAAACTTGTGTTACATTTTGTCATTATAGAAAATACCTGAGTTCAACTTTGTTTCTGGTGGTTAATGCAAAAATCATTCAAATGCTAAGTACTGCTAATCAACTTTGGTAGCTTGCCTATGCAAAATCACAATTAAGGAATTAAGTAGAATTATTCCTTCAACAAACACTGCTAGTAAACACAAAAAATGAATTATTTTCCTTGACTTGCGTTTCACCAACCAAACTGCATCTTCAGTAGATGAAGTAGTCTAGTGGTTGAAATATAGTAGTTAGATAATAATTCTACTTTGATGAATACTCTTACCAATTTCCAATATCAGAAGTAGTATTAAGGAAATGGATATTCCTCAAACTTTTGTTTTGATCTAATGCAAATTATTTTATTTTTAGGATGATTCAAACAAAAAGAGTGCCTTTGCTAATTTTACTGCCTTATCAAAACCTCCAGTCCCACCCTCTTCAGCTTTTTCATTTTTATCAACAATCACTAGTGGTAGTAATAATGAAAAAGAGGAAAAAGGCAAATTATCCGATTCAGAGAAAAAGGAAACAGATCAGCATTTGAACAACAAGAACAAAGATAACGAAACAATTGAAAACTCTGATGATAAAAACAATGAAGAAACTTGTGACATGTTGAGTAAGGGTGTAAAAGGAAATGAAAATGATGCTACAGATGATGAAGATAGAACACTGGTCAAAAATATTGAAGAGAATCTAAACAAACGAGCTGATGTTGGTACAGTTGAAAAAAATAATATGGGTGGAGGGGAAATGGGTTCAATGAATTCAGGGGAAGGTGATACAAATGAAAACTCAGGCACACCTCTGCACAAAGACAGTGATGCAGATAAGCTGGTTTCTCAAGAAGGGTGTGACAATCAAGAATAAAACTGATAGAGTGAGGGAATCCAAAATATGAAGATCTCAAAACGTAAATAATACCTAGACATATTGATTTGGTTGTGTGTTCAGAAAAGTCCTGTAATATATTTTTTCAATCCCATATATGGCATGTTTGTTTTTATTTGACCTTTTCTGTTAATGAAGGTATAGTTCATTGGAGCAATGTTTGTAATGAAAAACAATTGACAACCTATTTCGGTTTAGCAGGAAATTCATTCATTTATTTATTCGGTATAAACGGGAGAACCCTAAGTTGAAACGTAAAATATACATGTATAAAATACAAAATTGGTACACTTATTGAAATTATTAAAATAAAAAGCAACTTTAGAAACTAAATGCTAAATAAAACAATTATAGCTAACACCACTGAAAACTGACAAGCATACGAAGCATAAATCTATAGACTGAACACATAATTGACTGCAGACTTTTTGAAGACCTCCAAGGAGTACCTAAGTAAAAAAATCAAGTTCTGATGTATTAGCTTCCCTTAACATTCTTGACATTGGAATGGACTATTAAATCCATAGTTGGAAGAATGTGAGTTCTCAACGAAAACAGCTCTATCATCTCTTGTTATTCTTTACTTGACTCCCAGGCCAACCAAAGAGAGAAGTTCTGGAGTTCAGGGTAATTCATTTTGTCTGACAATAATTCGAACCCAAGCCGAGAATTTCAGATAGAACCCTGCTGTATATTTTTAGACCATTTGATAGAAAATGAAATCCTCTTTTTATCGATGTAACACAGTTATGAAGTAAATAATGGAATATCAAAAAATTAAGCTAAAGTATCTACAAAAATTTGTGAAAAATTTCAAATACCGTAAATCGGGGTCAAAATGTGCCTGCATAGGTGAAAATATGCCATTGTGTCTTTCTACAGATATTTGAAATTCGTGCGCTCGTAATGCTCTGGTTATGTGAACCAGTCTTTATTATGATAACTATACAAGTTTTGCAAACTTGTGGCGCAATTCCGAACTGTGTGGTTCCCTCTATTTGTTGGGAGGTTGGCGTTGATGAATAACGTGTATTTTCTACTTGTTCCAAAAGTCTGTATACTTTTTGGTGGTGAGAAGTTTGTGGAACAAATTGAGACATTCAGGTAGATAATTTCGATTACCCATTCATTTATCATGATAATACCTTAATAACAATTGCATACTAATGCGGTATTCTTCCTGCAAATCGTCACGAAGTATTACAAAGACTGCCCTTGTATTCTGTTGAAGCCTTACCTGCAGTAAAATCATTGACTGATGAAATATTTATTGAACACCTTAATTCGAAGAGATAGACCATCACGTCTACAAGGACCACGAAGAAAAGAAGAAGAGTCAACGTTCCTCTAGGAAAAAGTATCACAGCTTCCGACGCATCAACCCGCAAGATATTCATAACTCACCCGTGAGCTTGCATCAACCTTCAACTTCTTCAGGACAGACTCATAAGCAACCTAATTTTCCTCAAAGGGTTACAAGACTTGATGACGAATCTGATAGCGAAAATGACAGTACAGGACATGTTTCTTATGCAGAAAGCGATCAAAGTCCCTATTCACCTCAACTGAGCGAATGATCTTATACCGCTATGGTAGCCATTGAAATTCCTGACACAAATGTGCAGAAAAACGAAGTTATTGCTGGTGAATATGTACTCGTTATGTACATATTCACTTGTCCTGTATCCGGGACAAGTAAAAGAATTGGCTGAGCATACCCTTTTGATTTCAGCAATGGAAAAGTGTTGGGGAAATTGGAAGTGGCTCAGAAAACCAGATACGATTTAGTATCCCTATGATGACATTAAACGAAAAATTGACAAGCCATGTCAAATATCTAAGGGAGAAATCTTCAAAGTCCCTGAATTACCGTAACTTGAATATTTTGCTCATTAAAATTTGATTTATTTTGTGTTTGATGTTATTAGCTTGGTTTTTATTTGTGTCATCCTTAAGAGATATATTTCTCTCCTATTTCTATACAAATTCTTTATAGAATATATGTATTTTGTACCCAACTGCGTAAATTTATTTAGCCCTATATTTATTGAGTGAAAACATAAAGGTGAGAACATGCCAGTTGTGTTTCTCTATTGAATATGCATTGAAAACCGATATGGCACATTTTCAACCCAGCTATTGGGGTGACAGGTTTCGGACATGACTAAAATTATTTTTATACTTCCTTGTACTGTAGGTAATGCATTCGCAAATCATGCGGCGTTTAATTATCAGTCATATATTTAATTTTTTTCTAACAATATTTTCGCAACAACATATATCGCACATATATCGACCCCATTTTACGGTACTATTTTTTTTTCAAAAATTGAGCCAATATCGTTTTTTTTTTCTCATTACGTCAGGTTGTTTGACGATATTTCCATAGATGACGTCAGTGCGGCCATATTGAATTTAGAAAAAAATGCTCATACGACGTCCATTTGTAATTAATTGGTCATTTGTGTTACATCGTTGAAAACAGAATTTTATATTATATCAAACAGTCTGAAATATAAGGTTTTACTTGCAATTCTTGACTTGGGTTTATTAACTGTACAATGATTTCGTTGTCACTCGATATATCAGTAGGTAGACTTGTCAACCAAGTTTACATCATCAGTTTTAACAGTTCTGATTGTGATCATATACTATTTTTGTGATGCTAGTCAATTACGCAAAATTATGATATGGAATTAGAAATTATTTTCGAATAACTGAAGGAATCTTAGAATTGGAAACTCATTTGTATGAAAACTTGATATTTTTGCACTTGATTTAGTGTCAGCATTTACAATCAATTAATATGTCTATCTGTTAAAATCATTCTAGTTTAAGATTCACTGTCTACCCTTGTAGGTCCAATTTTCTTAATTAGGTTCTCCACTTGACTCATTATTAGTTTGATTTGTAATATGTATTTTTGTTCCACACTAACAAATAACGTATCTGTGAGAAGATAATATTTATTATCCGTTCGCCAAATGCAATTCAAACAATTTCAATATTTCAGTGTTTCGATGTATTTTTGCCAACAAAATTGGAGTAATTTCGAAGTTGTCCTTGATGTTCAATATTGCTCCTTTTTCTAGAAGAAATACGGCCAAAGGTATATACCCTGTAATTGCTACAATATGCATGCAGTTCCTGTTGTTGACTTTGTCGGTTGTGTTGACATTGATGCCTTCGTCAATCAGTAAATTGATTATTTCTAGTTGTTTGATCGAATAACAATTCAAGACACATTCTAAAAAAGAAAAAAAATCATAAAATGACACCTGATGAATGATCTTTTTTTTATATACCTAGTCAAAGAAGAACGTGATTCATTCTTTCTAGAAATTTCGAGTCTGAAGCTGGAATTTAACAAAAATTCAAGTTTAGAGTCGGAATTCCATAAGATTTCACATACTTTTGAGTTTGAAGTCGACATTTCTTGTTTGAAAATATCACTGGGACACTCTGTGGGTGTCTTGATTTCAATCGAAAATTTTTTACTTATTTTCAGGTGAATTCTGAATCACTTATTCAGTGTGCTGGAATTCTTTACAAGACTCAATTAATAGTTTGTTTTCTCTACCTACAACGGTTGTATTTTTTTAACACACTATCTTAATAGTTTATAACATTATTATAGATATCATGAAAAATAACATCTTGTATTGCTTGAACTAGCTTTCATTACCTATTATGTTATTTTTCGATGTAGGTATATTATAAAATAAAGACTGTTCACGGTGGCTTAATGTGTAGTGAATTTGTCGAAAGTAATAACAGCTATATAGTTAGCTGTTATAGCTAGCTCCGAATGAGCTAGTAAGTACTTGAGAATACGAATAAATAACAAATTAATTTGAAATTCGAAATTTCTTACCTAAAAATAAATCCATGTGTAGACGTCTTTCCAAATTAACATCTGCTCCGTGATGTAAAAGAAATGCAACCATTTTCTGGTCCGGTTTCTCTATACATGCCAGAGATAAAGGTGTATTGTCGAAAATATCTACTGTGTTAATATTTGCCCCTTTTTGTATCAAATTATGAACCAAACTAAACTGCTGAATCCGCACTGCCAAATGCAAAGGGGTCTGCCCGAATGAATTACTTTCGTTGGCACGTTTCATGTGCTGAGACATGGTCGCTATATTTTAAAAAAAGTCGGATGTTATTGTTTCCGTCCCCAAATTAATTAGATTTATTATATGTTATCTCTTCCGATAGATCATATTGTTTCTTCGTTATCGCATCTATTACTTTATATTTACCCAACATGTTAGTATACTGATAATATTTTAACAGACCATGCGGTTTAACTCCGAAGTGTAATACATCGGTATGCATAGCAGACGATAAAGTTATCAGCGAAATTTATCAGTACCTATATGTACAGCTCCAAAGGCGCACGTAGAAAAAATATTCGGTGTGGACTAAAAAAATGAAACTTTACAGTTTATTACTTGTTGAAATATCCGATAGAAAACATTTTGAACTTGTAAGCTCTGTAGCCACTTATGGGTTTAATATGGAGGATCAGCGACCATTAAATAATTGGAGTTGAAGAGATACCTATACAAAACAAAAAGGCTACATATTTGTACCTACTCCTGTACCATATTTGTTCCTCAATAATTCTGACTTAAAGAATAGAAATTTCGATTTGAAATTCAAAAATTCAATATGAAACTCAAAATTTGGATGAAGTCAGTTATTTACTACATCATATTGAGCAGATATTTTGAACTTGCGTGTGCAACCAGCTGAGAAATTTTTTAAGGACCATCATTCATTGAAAATCAAAAAAATTGAATTGAATTCGTTGAATCTAGAGCCCAAAAACAAAATTATTTTGTGAACCTACACCACATAACTTTTTTTCGAAGCGCCCTTTGTTTCATCAGTGGTTCTAGACAAGCAATGCTGAACTCAACTGTTCTTAAAGAATAAGCCTGAGTAAGTACTTAGATGAGCAAGTAAGAACCACGCAAGTAAGTCTAACAAAGTAATCGTGGTTCGGCCCATTACCATTAATGAGACCTACAATGGCTTGAGACAGCACTGTCTGGAGTTGAATCACGAATGCTTCGTTTATGGGCTCTGATATCAATTAGTTGTTTTGTAGTGAAAGACAGATGAAAAATCTCATTCGGCGGTTGACGTCTAAGCTTGGCTATGCAACTGACCTCCTTGGGGAGCCTCATTTACCATTGATATTCGAGGATTGACTTTTCTGTCGATCCCATATGGCGTTTTCGTTTGGGGAGATGTCATAACGATTTGGTGTTGGGAAAAAAGTCCAGTAATATTCATTGCTATACCAAAGGTTCCAAACAGTGCATCATAAACCCTATAATGTATTAATTATATGAATGATATTGGTTTAAATTGAAAATATAATATTTTTAGGAGTGATCAATTTTTAGGAAAACGCTTTTAGACTTTCTATTTGTCCAACTTTATGAAACAAAAATAAGGAATAGTCGCCAGTGCGGTTGAAACTGAATTAAAACAATAACGTATGTGTATCAACGTATCTTGTTATTATTTTACGCCTAGACGAATTTAAATGGTAAGTTTTCAATTCTTATTGGATTGTTCTGAAACTAATATTATTTTAAAGAATGCCAATAACTGCGTATATGCATGTATTTTGGTTAAATATAACGAATTAGTTTTCGCTGTTGTAAGTGATTTGGTTTTACAGAAAAGTTGGTAGTGCCTTCAATATACCAGAATCAACACTAAGAAAAAAACTATTACAAAATGAATCTAAAACCAACCGTCTTGGTCGAAAGTCAGTAGTCGCCAGTGCGGTTGAAACTGAATTAAAACAATATATTCTCAACCTTGGAAAACTATTTTATGGGATAACACCTAAACATCTTCGACAGTTAACCTTTAAATTCGCCAAAGCCCATAACATAAGACACAACTATAAAGATACTCGGTTAGCTGGTAAAGATTGACTGTACGGATATCTAAATAGAAATTTTGAATTACGATCAAGACATCCTGAAGAAACTAGCCTAACCAGAATTGCAGCATTTAATTTAGAAGAAATTAATATCTTTTTTCAAACCTAGAAATAATTTTAAAAAAAGAAAACGTTTAAAACTAACCGAATCTTCAATATGGACGTGATAGGCATAACTACCATCCAGAAGAAATGCCCAAAAGTTTACAGTAGAAAGGGAACAAAAAGAGTAATAGCTGCTACTAGAGGCGGACGAGGTAGGACGATAACGAGTGTCTTCTGCATGAGTGCTTCGGGGATCTACATTCCACCCATGCTAATATATCCCAGAAAAATGATGTCTGCTACATTACAAAAGAATGGTCCAGTCGGTGCCATCTACAGTGGGTGGATAAACGGAAAACTTTACTATGATTGGTTACAACATTTTGCAAAACATGTTGAATCCACCAATGAGATGCAGTTTTACTTGTGTTGGATAATCACTCCAGCCATATATCGATACAAACGTATGATTTCTGCGAGACAAATCATCCATGTAGTGTCTCTGCTACCTCATATTCCGCATCGGTTGCAACCCCTTGATCTCACTTTTTTTCACCCATTGAAGAATGCACTTTGTACAGAATATGATCTATATCTAACATCCACTTGTCATGGAAACATTACTGAGTACGATATTGCAGAGCTGTTGAAAGTGGTCACCATGGATAAAGCAGGATCCATGTTGAGCTGTTGAAAGTGATCACCATGGATAAAGCAGGATTTCGATCCTCAGGAATATTTCCGTTGAACCCCAACAAATTTAGCGCAGAGAATTTTGCTCATATTCAAGAATTAAGATCACTTGTTGTAGAGGCGGGCGACGAAGCAAAAAACGACTCCGCATTTTCTGAATTAAATCAAGAACTGAATAATGTTTCTGATTCTCCAACTTCTCCAAAAAAATTCAGAGAGTCAAGTTAACTAATGTGCTACAATTTTAAAAACTCAGTCAATAAAGGAAAATATACTATCGACTTCTAACTTCGAACAAGATTATTTGCCGTCTACGTCCAAATTAAATAAACATAGGATCTAAACGAACTGTAAAAATAGTTTCTCGTTCTAAGCAATTCTTACGAGTACTCCTATGAAAAGTATATTAAAAGAAGCTGAAGAGAAGAAGAAAAAAAACAAATTGTTCCTAAAGCAAGTAGAGAAAAGGAACGACCAAGAAAAGTAACTCAAAAACAAAAGTTGAAGTTTCAAAAGTCGAAACACAGGAATTAGTAACACAAACTGGGGGAATAATAATGATGGACTGGAAAAGGCTTATTTTACCATTTCAACTTCCAGTTTCTACAAAAAAAAGATAAATATCAGGAGCCAGAGAAAGTTAACGCAGGCTTATAGACCAATCACCTGAAATTAAAAAAGGAAAAAAGGGAAAACTGGAATCCTCTGAATCTTCCGAAATAACTGATGACATGGGTGACAGTGACGTATGTGATGATGATGAGTTAGATGATATCGAGCTAAGATCCAGCTATGTTCCATCGCCGCAGAAACAACCACTAAATGTTGCATGCGGAATTTGTGGGGAACAAGGGAAAACCGAGTTATGGTATAGGTGTGTCATTTGTGGCTTATGGGACCATGCAGCGTGTACCGGTGAAGACTCCCCTAACCGTTAATAAAATCGTTGTAATAATAAATATTTCTCACTATTTCTTGTTGTAATCTACGCGCATGATTTCCCACCCAAAGCGCACCATTACCCCATAGGATGGGGAATTGTGCTCAAATGCACTTTTGTACCTTTGATTTTTTTTGTGGTTAAGGTAACAACTACTTCTCATTCGTTTGTTTAATGTCGTTTTGTGTTGGTGTTGTCTCGAAAATTTGTTGGTTGCAATGTGTTTTTTATTTTTATTTTTCAAATACGTATCTAATATGTCTGATGCTTTTTGAAATAGTATTATCATCAACACGAAAAAACTACTTTTCGAGCCCTGAAGAAGAATTTAATTAAATTCGAAACGTCGGCAAGAATACAATTTTTTTTTTAGGAAAAATTGATCCTGTTATCCAACCAACCAACCCCCTTTTTCGAAAACAACTACAGCATTTTTGATGATAGCACTTGATAGAATTGTTATTTTACACATTGTTATTTACACATTTCCTCTGATATTCATCCAGTGGCAGTAGGATCAAACCTCGCTTAGGTGCGCACAATTTTCCCACCTCCCCCTAACTATCTATTTCAATTCCACAACGAATGTTTGGAGTGAGTATAGTCGAAGTAAACGATATTGTGCACATTTAAAGTTGGGGGCACTCTCAAAGGTCAAAAAAAAACGAATACATAGAAATGTGAACTAGTCCACGTGGACTGTTTGACGGTTCGTATTGGATAATTTTTTACTAACCGAGTTTTATGATTAGCTGAAAAGTCATAAAATTAAATTTGAAGTCATGTTACGTTGACGAAAAAAATGGGGGAATGCGAGGATGGTTATCGCCGTCGTGTTCAGTTTAGGAACTGATCGCGATTTGAGAGTTGAATTCAATATGTGCAGTTATAATTACTTAAAATTACGTGTTCAAAATGTGGCGTCCTTGGACAAGTACTAATAGTAATAACGAGTGTGATAACAACACAGACATTTTTCAGTGGAGTGATTCCAATAGCGATGGTGAACAATGCGAAAAAGAGATACCAGTGAATAACATTCGGATGCATTTGTATATTGAAACACAGAGAGTATGTTTCAATGTATATAAGAATCTACATCTCAAGTTTGGTTTCGTGGGAAACAAACTATCACAAGCAACATCAGATTTGACCGAAATTCCTCTCTCAATTGTACGTAAAATAGTCAAAAACAAACCTTATGAACGCAAGACGCGATGTGATACAGGATTACCAAAACCTTTAGATGTTCATCTGATAAAATCATTGAAAAAAACAATATACGACTGTTACCATAGCAATGAGATTCCTACAACTGATATCATAAGGAAGAAATTGAATACTTCCGGGCATAACGGAATAACGAAAAATCTAAATTAGTATTTAGATTTAAAATAATAAACAAACGTCAAGCAGTTTCGGAAAGCAAAAGAATGATGGAATTGCGTAACAAACACTTAGAACAAATAACTAAATAGAGGCAAGAACAACGGCAAAATTTCTATTAGGACGAAACTTGCTATGACACTCACGACACAGTTACGAAAGGGTCGACTGATGGTTAGACAATGTGTACGTATATGCCTGAAAATAAAGGATCGCGACTAATCATTGTGCATTCCGGGGGATGTGAAGGATGGGTTTCGAATTCTTTGAAATTATGTGGGAGAAAACTTGAGAACTGCAATGTTGACTATCATAAGAACATGGAAGATAATATTTTCGAGTAATGGTTTGAAAACACGTTGTTCCCAAATTTGGAGGCAAATAGTGTAATAGTTCTTGACAACGCTTCCTATCATTCGCGACAGATCATCAAAGTACCGAATAAAAATTCGAGGAAAGATGAAATACAAAGTTTATTAAAGGATAACAATATTTGTATTTTGAAGATTACTATACCAAAAACCAACTACTTGAAGTTTTACAGACAAAACCATTTGAAAAAGTGTATACCATTGAGAGTATTACGGAAAAGTATATGGACACACTATACTGAGACTTCCCCCCTATTTTTGTGTTTTTAATCAAATCGAGTTGATTTGGGAAAAATTGAAACAAAGCATCAAGCCCTACGCTTCGGGGGATATTGAATCCGTTGTGGGGAACGAGAAGAGCCGAATTCATTGGAACTACTCAATCCCCACCCCCAGGCTCATACAAGGTAATAAGCCTGATGTAGTTCTCTTCGACCACCACTACGGTTTGAAAAAATAATAATAATATGTCTAATACGTTAAGATGTAAATTTATTTTTGATAATTGGATATAAATATGTTCGATACTAATGATGAAAGAAAACAACTGTTGGAGGTTTTTGCATAATTTATTAATACAACATACATACGTACATTTATTGAATATATTGCATATATTATACCGACTGACTTCCATTATATTATCTCAGAAAATATATACCAATTTGTAACCTATAATTGAATGAATAATCGATTTGGAAACAATATTATATTTAGGATGGAAAGGGGCACCAAATGGGTCGTGTATATTGATATGACAGTATTTTTTTTTACAAAATTAACCGATGGTATACTGGAAGATTAGGTTCTCGCTGGTTACTCAGCAGCTGAGAAAGGGTATAAAAATCGTTTTTGTTCGGACCATTAATGTATCTCAATTCGTGAGTTGGATCTACGTTTCTCTTCTTCGCAACCTGGAAAAAATTAACAAAAATATAATGAAGGAAAAATCAAGGAGTGACACAATGACAAATTCAAAAATCAATCATTATAGTCATTTACATGGGCATGTAATAAAATAAAATTACCCGAGTATACCTATTTTACGTAAAACTAATAATCAACTTCAACATTAGAAAAACAGGTTTACTGAAATGGGAAATATTCAATGAAGATTTCCAAGCATTTCAAAAGATTGTGTTTCAAACCTCTCTCTTCTAAATTAACGTATGCTCCTCTGACTCATGCCTCTCCCCATTCAAGAAACTATACTTTGCTCTTTTATTTTTGGGAAAAGGTCCTCCCCGTTTGGCGTATACAGTGTCATCTCCAAAGTATGCACCATATGCGAAACTCATTTATTAAGGGTTTTTCGACAAAAAGTTATTCCTGATAAAAATTTGTGCATCCTCTAAAAGTAAACATGCACTAACGAAATACATTAAANAATTAACTCCACTTAGATGCCCATGACTTCAAATCCAGATGTATTTTTTTAATATTGAACAACTTTTCTGAATTACATTTCCCGAGATTTTCCAAAATAAGAGTACTTTACTCTTGCCTCAAAATCAAATATTTGAAGGCTCCTTGTATATTACGTGTGTTTTACTGTATTTTGTTGGTGCATGTTCAGTTTTAGAAGATGCACAAATTTTTATCAGGAATAACTTTTTGTCGAAAAATAGAAATGAAGCCATGTCCATCGCCAAGGGAATGACACCGTAGGCTTAAACCTTGAAAGACTGTGAGTTCAGCCTGAGCACTTCGCCCGTTGCCTCATCGCCTTTGATGATGTCTACCGCAGACAAAACGTTAGACATTAAAACCCGTTGGCTACTGCAGACAACGAATAGAAAGAACACGTTTAATTACAGTTCATGTAAAAAACATTACGCAGTAATGAAGGTTTACACAATAAATTGCTTATAGGTAAACCAGTTTAAAAATGTGTTCTCTGATATTTCAAGGGATTTAAAATAGTAGGGTAGACGTTCCCAAACGAATATCAACTAGTTTAAATATCATATATCTCTCACCATGAACCTCTTATTCCTGCTGTCTCCGCCAAACCCCCTCCACTTTTCCTTGTTTTCAAACACTTGAGGCCCACTTGGCTCGTACATGTATTTAGGTCCAAGATCTTTTTCAAACGCCGTTGCGTGGGGATAAACAGGATTGTCCAGCCAGTTTTCTCCGTCCTGATCCTGCGAATCGTCTTGGTTGATGTCCAGGTCGAGATTTGGCTCGAATCTGTTCCACGGATATCGGTAGTTCTCGGTTGAAGGCTGCTGTCGTGGGTGATTGTTCTCGTAAAGAGAAAGCAGGGTCAGGATTTCTTCGGGGCTCAGGTCTACTTCTCGCTTCATTCGGGATTCCAGCCTAGCAGGAATGATGAAACATTTAATGAAGGGCATGAAGTGGATATAAATGAAGATACTTTTTTTCTGAATACACATTATTCTTGATGATAAAGGAGAGAAATCAAAATCAGTCTGATGACTGTCGAGGAGAGTTGAAGGCGTATTAATGAAATGTACATTTTGAACTTAGGCACAGAACTATTTGGGTTGGAGCTTTTCTGTACTGGCGAGAGGCAATATCCCGAAACCGGTCGATCTACTCGACATTTCAGCGAGAATCTGCTACTAATCTCAGTGTGGCAACTTGATTCAATGTCCAGCGTGATATTAGCCGGGAAAGTAATTGCTTTCCGGTTGATATTTATCAGATACTACACTGTAGAAACGTTGGGAGATGTCAAGTTTCGAATTTTATCAGTCATCAAAATGGGACATATTGGAGAATAGCAGAATAACTTATTTGAAAAATTAAGAAGAAAAGTATCTTATATATTGAACAAAGTCGAGAGTCACATTAGTTCCATCATTTATAACTCAAAAACGGAATGGCTGCATCGATTTCCATCATTTTAGTTTTACTGGATTTGTCTCCGCCTGGAATAGTAAAATAATATTGAAACATTTTGAGAGTAAAAGAAAAAAATTATCCAACTTTGTTATATGAAAGAAAGCCGCGAAATCGTTACTTCATTTATAATTCAAGAATTGAACGGCTAGACCAATTCCCGTGATATTTGATTTGTTGGATTTGTCTACGCCTGGAATAGCAGAATAACTATTGAAACATTTCAAAAATTAGTGAAAAAAGTTCAAAAATTGTCGACATTGCTTTGTTAGGCTATGACAGGTGTCACTGAGGTTACGAACTTTGTGCTTCTGCGGGCATGAATAATTTTTCAAACGTAATAATAGCAATGTCGTCAATATCCATCATAATGTCGCGAATCCTTCACAACGAAGCCATAACGCAATTATACTATAAAATATGGCGAATCAATTCACTGTAGATGAAGAAGAAATCGCACGAGAGGAGCTCTATGTTCAGCATTGCCAGGAAACAATACTGAAGTTGAGTCAAACTGTCAAAATAGGAAACGTCTCCGATTGGATAATTCATATAGCTTGAACATATTCTCCTTAGCATTGTATATTATGAAACCTAAAGCTTATTGCTTTTTGCTTGTAACTTTTGCTTCCATCACGGCCCACTGTGTTGAAACTAGTAATATTGTAATTAAAGTGTAATTTATTTGATAGCAAGTGAATCTCGATTATATATTTTGGGTTGGTTTTTTTGATTATGAACATAAATCCGTGAAATAACGTGTGGTAGGTTTTGAGGTGACAGAAAGAAAATAAAAATTAGTTTTACAGAAGGAAAACAAAATCAACAAATAGAGAAAAATTATACATCTTTGCCTACATTTGTGTGCGGTGATTTAAAATATTGGGCATTTTGTTGGGTTTACCAAATTCCTTTGCTTTTTGTGTTTGTGGGCTGTAGAGACCGAGCAAATTACTGCACCAAAAAGTGTTGGCCTCTGATAGCATAATGTTGGCAAAAAAACATTCTGCATGAAGTTTGGTGCTTCCTCATGAATTTCTTCTACCACCGCTTCACATAAAGCTGGGATTGATGAAGCAATTTGAAGTCACTTCCAAGAGATAAAGTCACTTCCAAGAGATATAAATGGCTTCATATAATTGATATCAAAGTTTTCAGGCCTCTCAGAGGCAAAGTTGAAAAAAGGTGTTTTTGTTGGACCATATATTAGACGACTTATGGCTGATCCACAATTCATCACAACCATGACGGATTCTCAAAGAGAGGGGTGGGTTGCCTTCAAAGAGGTCATAGATAAAATTTTACGCAATACAAAAGAGCCTAACTACAAACAAATCGCCAAAAAAATTTTAAAAGCATTTCAAGCTTCAGGTTGCCTAATGGGTTTGGAGGTACATTTTTTTCATTCACACCTCGACTACTTTCCAGAAAATTTAGGAGATATGAGTGAAGAAGATTCTAGTGGCGCATTTGCTTTTTCAGCTGCAGGAAAGCCCGGAAAAATCTGCAGCACCATATCATCTGAAGATCTTGATTTGCCAATGTCATCTCTTTCGTAGGGTATCTCCAGACGCTGCAATGAATTCAATACATCGTCAAACTATCATAACTATCGTCAAACTCAAACCAGTCCGTTTCGTCTTTGGCCAAGGCGTAATAATGACCAGATTCAACGCCAGAACCATAGTGAACGATGACTGCATATAGATTATAATAGTGGTCTGCTAGATTGAAGTGTTCATCAATTTTGAAACTTCGCAAGAGTTTGGTGTTTCCATCAGAGCTTGAGTCATGTTTGAAGATTATCAGTGTTATTATTAAATTGACTGGTGCATCAGCTATACTTGTTTTCTTGTAACAGTCAGTTTGTTTGGCGTATGTTTGGCGATACAGTCGATCATAACCTGTTAAAAGTTCCATTACCAGATGATTTAACAATAAGCTTTGCACGGACTGGTTATTAGTTATATCAGGAAACGCTAGTTGAAGTTCCAGAAATTCACATACGTTTTCGCTCTTGAACATTTACTACAAAGTAAACAAGTGAGGATTTTTCCAGCAAAAGATTTACAAACACAAGACGAGATGGGTTGTACGGAATCATTCAGTCCAGAGCGGCTGGGAGTATTGATTTTGCTATTGTTTTGCTCATGAAGAGTATTCAACCAAAACCCCATGAATTTAGAACAATCCTCTTGTTGTCCTAACGAGTATCTAGTGGATTTCAAAGACTCCAGGAAATCGGTTGGAGGAAAAGATGATACATTCTCACGAAACTGCAGCTGCATGAACAGGTGTTTGAGTTTGATGAATAAGTAGGAAACATTCTCTTTCTTGTTCATCATTAAAACCTCGCTCTTTAAATTATTCGTAACAACACTTGTAAAATGCTATTCATGTAGCAAGTGTTTCCTAAATTATCAACTCTCTACTGATTCGTAAGGAAGAACATGTTTCACAGAATCTGCATAAGGACCATTTCTCAAGCTGCAATCGATCCTTCCAAGTGATAAAGAGTTTCGTAGAGGGATCGATTCAGCTCTTGCTTCATGAAGCTCTTCCACTGAAAGGGAACCAGAACCACGAGGACTGCAACTCATATTTGGGGGGCAAGAATGACCCAAGTCCATTGACCGTTCAGAAAAAGAAGAAGGTGGATGAATCACTTGCAAATTAACTTTAATAGGAAACTGATGAATATACACATATCTCGGCTTGTTTCTAGGTGGAAAAAATATACCAGGGAAGATGGAGCGTCTCAATGTTCGCAGACAACTGTTGGACTCTCCAGAAAACTTTGCAAATGCTTCCTACAAACGAAAATGTACCGAAAGGAGTCTCATTGGGTAAAAGTGGTCAGTGCTCATTACTGCATGTATTACAGATTGAATAATAACTTTTGTTACACACTTATAATAGTATATTATGCAAAGATCATGTAATGATGGTTATTAAGACACGAGCATTAACCGGGATACGAAACGAGCCGAAGGCGAGTTTTGTATGGTATATGCGAGTGTATTAATCTTTGGCTGTTTTACAATTCTTAACATGTATCACTTGTGAATCTTCGATTAGTAAACCAATTGTAGCTCTCGCTTTACCATCTTTTGCATCCCAACCACTGTTCTTTTGTTCAGGTGGGTTTTGAGTGACTATGCTCGATAGTTCTTTTTTCAGTAAAAGCATTTCAACCTTGCATTTCCATATTTGGTAATTATTGCTATTCAGCCTGACTATGTTGAATTTTGTCACATCCATATCAACAACAGTTTTACTTATATATGCCAGCTTTATTGAAACGTGCCTGGGCCCATAACCTGTTTGAAGATACTTTATATTTATGATGAGAACTTTATGAGGACTTTTTATAATTTTTATTTCTAGTAAAATATAACAACTGAACTTGACAATATATATCAACATACAACCATAGAAACATCGAATCAAAAATATATAAATATATGTGGCACAAATTCATTTTTGTTGTTAATCTCCAACAATTATAAGTAAGTAACGGGTAAGAGTATTCATAACCATGTTATCAAGACACATCCTGTATAAATAGAAGCGAAATTCATAATGAGCTCTGATTGTAGGATCGAAGTGAACGTGCTCTTGAACTATCTAGTTAATGAGTGTTATAACAGATCATAAGTTTTAACGATTTTTATGCGTGCCAACAACAAGCACTTCACTCTATTTTTAGGAGTTTCGAGAGATAATGCCCATTACCACCAACGCTCAATTAAAAGCTATGACCGGAAAATACATGAGAAGAATCGGAACGTGATCAATTAAATTATCAACATGATATCTCTGGAAACATCGAGAAGCTATTAGCGATGGAGAAAAGGCTTTTACTGGTCCCCGGGTGGCGAATAATGTTAGATGTATCGATTTGTTCCACCGCTGGAGATAACAAATAACTTAATGGGTTTAGGATAATGTCCAGAACAAGGTTTTATGTCAGCATGATAACAGAGAAAAACTAAGACTCAGTAATGACCTCATAATATCGTTAGAATCAAAGGAAGGAGAGCTTAATAAAATGTTCCACAAGGATCTCATTTAGGATTTGTTTTATAAACTTCCACAATTCCACCCAAACTTTGAATGTTCATCGATAGTAATCACCACAAGACCTCAAAACTTCATCAGTAAATTTCCATTTTTCAATGAAAACTTTGCTATTTGAATATTACTGGAGTTGTATATTCTTGTGGTGCTGGAGTGCCTTGCTCTTGAAGTGGACTGTATTTGTATCGTTATTTTTGTACTCCTATCGCTACCACTCGAATCTGCGCTGGTTCTGGTAATTGGAAATGCTGTTGCATATATTTAATGAATGTATATTTTACGGAGTTATAAAAACCAACATTTCAAACTGTCGTTGTTTGACAATCTCTCTTCTTCCGTCATCATGATAGTTGTCATAAAACATGACAGGGGCG